CAATCTCTCCTTGGATTTCTTTTAAAGCATATTTTGTTACGAAGTACGCACGTGGCGAAGCTGACTCGTTACATGTATACGTTTTTGCCAGCGTTATAATAATATTCAAACTGGCAGGGGAGATAAAATTAAAGAGTAATTAAATAAAATTCCGCAAAACGCATTATCGAATGTTGCAAGTCTGTTTAGATGAGCAAGGGTTGTTTAGATTTCAAAAATTGAAATTCCCAACCGCGGATTTTTTTTCCCGGAATCGCATATGATGAAGATTTTCGCGCGCGGTTAATGCATGTATTTCATTGGTAATACGCGCTAACCATAATTCTTATTAAAATATGTAAAAGTAGTACAGCGAAACGTGTTAATGTACTAATTTCACGCGCAGCTGCGTCGCGTGTTTGGCAAGTTGGTAATTTATGAGGAACGAAAATTTATTTCAGAGAAATATACACGTCCGCCATACACAGAGGAGATAATTTGCTTTTTGCGCACGCCCGCGGGGAGAAGACGAGGGAGGGGGAGGGGGAGGAAGGGGTTAAATTTCGTTCGCAAAGAGACTGTACTGCCTGAGTGTACTCAAACATCTTTGACCAGGCGAAATGAAAGCCTTTTGAACTGCTGGGTGTTTGTTTACGACTGGATTTTCCCTCGGATAGTATGTTTCATATTGTCATTCTTCCTGCATAAAAATCTCATGCCTGATGGTGAGCAAAGCGTTCATATATGCATGATATATGAAAGTACGATTTTCCGTCGTTGAAACGACGCCCTCGGCGTAGAAGAATATGACTTGCGGAGAAAGTCTACGGTGCAGCAGGTCGGCTGTGATCGAGCTACTGGGCGTGACAGTTCTGCTGCAGGTGCAGCCAAACGTATAGGATCACGAAAGCGCTCCGGGGTAGAGGGGAACGCGACTCTCGCCGCCTACGCGCGATCGGTCTGCACGTTCGCCGGGAAAGACAGGAATCGAGCCCGGTGGTGCATGGAATAAAGAGAAAGAAAGAGAGAAAGATGAAAAGAGCGAAACAGGCGCGAGATACGGAAAGGTGGAAGAGAAAGGTCGGAGAAGTGGGAGACTAGAGACCGAGGAGATCGAGGAGAGCGTACGGGCCTTGTCGCTGGCTACGCGGTCGCGCACACCTGTGCCAACGCAGCATGGCACGGCGTCGCATAACAGGTGGAAAGGTATAACGGAGGAGAGAGAGAAAGAGAGACACTCCGGGAGGAGAGGACGGGAAGAGAACGAGAGAAGGAGAAAGAGAGATAGACAGATAGACGGAGGGAGAGACCCCCCACTCGACCCCGAGTCTGCCAACTCGAACATTACTATACGCCCTCCGCGATCCAAGAGGAGGAGAACATCGAGACTACCGCCTTCCTCCTACGTTTTCTCGTCTCTCGCTCTATCTCTCTCGTCGCCTTTTTACTCCACCTACCTCTTTCTCGCGCGCTTCTATCTACCTCGTACGCCCGCTCCTAATCTCTCCCGCCTCTCCCTCCGTCGCCCAGCTTTCTCTGCGCTTCTCTTCTTCCCCTGTCATCCCCAACCCCCTCCCTTTCAACGGCGATGCCGTCGTTGCATTTCCGCTTTGACGTCGGCTAAACTCGAGGCGCGCCCGGCGCGCAAACGCCGCCGACAAACGCGTTTTCTCTCCGCGCCGATGAAATGGCGGACGACAGAGCATTCTCTACCCTGGAGGATCTCATCCGAGAAGTCCTCGCGAAGTCGATCTCTCGCCCGTTGGAGATTTTCCAGCGAATCAGATAGCTTTTACTCAGCGTAACTGACATTTTCAGTTACCGTACGACCGGTTTGTCGGACACGCCAATTAATCATGAATGGAAAACTTGTAGGTCGACTCGAACAATTTTTCTGGATTTTAGATATTCTCTTAAGTCGAACCTATTAGGCTGGGACAACTCGTCACGCGATTATTAAAATACGACTTTAACAGGAAACGCCGAGACACATGGAAAACTCATTTTTGTCGCACAGATTGGTACTTTTCTTATCTCTCCTCTCTCGTATCGTTAAAACGTTATTGCCGGTAGTTACGTGTCTCTCCGACTGTGGATTTCAATTATTAGTGCAATTGCAGACGATCGTAACAACTCCCGATTCCTGCCTCTCTCTCTTTCTCCCGGGTTTAAGTATTTAACGACATTAGCCGGCGTTCTTGCGCGTAAGCCGTTCGCAAATGTTATGGAAATAATCTTGCGTTATTGGTTGTAGATTTCTCAAATGCAAAAGCGGGATGTCAACAGAGAGAGAGAGAGAGAGAGAGAGAGAGAGAGATTCCAGGCTTTCGTAAAAAATAATTTCTCTTTTAAATAAATGAAGTATATTAATGAACGTATACCACTTCACGACTATTTTTGTAAATACGGAGAGCTCAATTATAATTAAAAATTTACTTGATACGCTTCATTTACAGAGTAATTTATTAACATAAAAAGAGTAAAATTTTCGCTTATACACATTATTATTAATTTTTGAATTTTGAATAAATTAAATTTCGTTAAAAGAATTGTTGATATTCGTATATGCGATTGCAAATCTGAAAATGCGGACGCTTTAAAACATCAAACGTCCCCGTAGGACGTTTATTTTGCGTGCGTTTCTCTCTTCTTGCAGGTATATAATTAAATATAAATCGATATAATTGAAAATGTGTCAGCGACTTGTCCGTCGCGTTCCGCCTTGCGGATCATAATCGACCGTTCGTTCGCAGGATCTCTGGGATATCTCAAGATGTTGTTTACGGCACAATGGATGCTGTTACCACTCTCCCGAATTCAGAATATTAATGTTCACAGGCACATCGGTTTCTACCTGCCGCGCGCACATGACGGTTATTTACGCGAATGCATTCGTATAGAATTTCGCCGGCGGGCGAATTTAGCGGGACATCGGGGAAGAAACATCGTTTCCACAGCACGTAAATGACTGGCATAATAACGGTAATACACGTCGGGCATTATCTGCACGCGCTCGCATTTTTGCGGGCAGACAGGTTCCTCCGGTCTCCCGCGATTCCTTCGAACGGCTGCGGCGGCGGACGGCGCGGCGTGGTTGCGTTTCGCCGCAGCCACGCGATGACCCGCGCTTTTTGAGGCCGCGCGAAGTATCGAGTCATCGCCGTGAGACGGAAGGTGATACTAATCTCGATGCGGTTATCGAATCCGATACGCAGGCCGGAGCGATTTCAATGAGATCTCATTGTGCCCGAACGTTCGCGCCCGATGCGGCGCGCTCGCGGATTGCAGTCTGGCGTGATGCAGGCGCATCAAAGGTGTACTGTTACTCGCGGAGGTGCAACGGACTCGCCGCTATTAGTACGGTAATATCACAGAGAGAGGTCTTGACGTTATTGTCAGGAACATCGCGGAGAAGCAGAAGAATACGGCTTAACATTCCGATGGCGCGGGAAGGAACGCGCGTAGAATTTTTATGTTGTTTGCAGAGAGGTATAACCGCGCGGACATTATGAATTATTCTTACAATCCTCGCCGGACGAGTCGCCGGAGTCGAGAATGCTTCGCTTTATCGCGCGGTGTCTTTTTGAAACGGAAACATACTAAGCTGGTCGTAACGGCATATCGGTCATCGTGGAAACTCGGGTTTCTCATTTTTCTATCGCTGTCTGCGATATACCTGCACGACCGCGATTCAACCGCGTAATTATGATTCCGCGGTAATCGATGCACTTTCCCTCGTCAATCAACATGCGCTGGCTGGGCGATTTATATTGAGACACAGCTTGATCCGTCATTCTCTATTTCGTCACGGCCACGCGTGGCACGCATTCTATTTTTTCCTCTATTAATCGTAAACGATATTCCGCATGATGTGACGTAATTGGACAAATCGATCAAATTATGTAATTGTTACGCTATGCTTTTATTACATTAGTTTACAAATTTTGAATAATTTTTAATGTAAGAAAAGGAAACTTTTGCAATGTACTTTGGCGCGTTGAGTTCAAATCTGCCGCCAAAATTTCCATTAGATTGAACTTTTAAGATATAGTATGTCATTTTAACGTATATGATATGTCAATTTTTATGATACATTTTTTTTTCAAAATAATTTAAGTGCAACAAGTGTTTAGGAAGGCAACATTCCATCAGATGATAATTGAGAAACGTCATCTAGAATATTGAAACGAAAATATTCTAGATGATTACTGCTGGATTCTAATATGTAAAACCGATCCAAAGTCATAAAAAACAAAAATTAAATACTCAATATTTCGAATAAAATTTCACTATATATTGCAAAAATATCTTTTCTTTTATCTTAAAAACCGGACTTAATGGAAATATTTCGATGGCAAATTCGGGCTCAGCATCGAAAATTACCTAGAAAGTGTTATTCATTATTAAAATGTTAGTCATTATTCACCATAATGTACCAACAAATTTAATTATTCGAATCTTCTATTTCCTATTTTAAACGTACTCCGCAATAACTCGAAATATTACACGGAAAAATGATTTTGCTTAAGTATCTAACAATTTAGTTAGATATTGATCTAAAAATAATTTGAATGGACCATCAAAACAGGAATCTCAAACATGAAAAATAATGCTGCAAAAAATTTTGACATTTTAACAATCAGTTTGAGCGTCCTACATAATTATTTCGATAATCCAACAAAATGATGTTCAGATCTGTATCTAGCTACATTTTTAAATATTTCAGCAAAACCATTTTTTTTGTATATATCCGTTGTCTCAGGTTTTGAAATTAGAATTTTTCTCTAATATTCTGTTGTTTATTTACGTCCTTCTACACCTTAATTCATGCAGATTAATTAGTAAATTTTAAATTTTCAATTATTTATAATTCAACACGTTGCAACATTTATATTTAAAATATTTGGCGCACGCCTAGCATTATAATAATTCGATTATAATTCATTATAATTCATCATAATAGTTCGATATTTATAAATATAATTCAGCTATGTCTTTCCATGCATTAGAAAATTGCTTACCTTCGATTGATCCTGCTGTTGTACAAGACGCTCCCTAA